TTTATTTATAAAAAAAATAACATATGTACTAGCAATAACAAAATGACTAGATTTTTCCATGGGTCCAGAAACGTATTTGCCCGACCTTCTAAAACTTCTTATCTCTCCCAATTGTGAATGGTTTAACCCATGTGCCTGCTTCGTAAAACACAAACAATTAAAATGTATTGCAGAATTATTTCTGTACTGCATGAGAACTTGTGACAACAATCCAGCGTCAACAACCATCCTTTGTTATAGTTATCAGTCTTTTTGTTTAATTTAGGAATTCATGAACGCAACTGAAAAGTAATCCACAAACCATTCGTTTCCTGATACTCAATTCATTCAGGCTGATTTGCAGAGGATTATCTATAATTTAGTCAGGGTTGCTAAGAAAATCTATTAGTTATCAATAAGCATTAGTTCCGAGCGATTTTTTATATACGTTTAATCAATATCGTTGACTAATAATTAGCTCATGAGCACATTTCATAATATTTGAATAATAAAAGTAACCCCAGATGTCCGTTCAAAAGGTCAAATGTGACCTCCCCAAGCAACGGTTGTAACTATGCCGGCGATGTAACGTCTGACTGAGAGTGTGGATATAGTAAAATGTGTTGATATATCAGATTTAAATCCATTTTGATTTCTGACTGTGAAAGTTTTTTAAAAATACTTGAATATTTCAATATAGACGATTTAAATTCAAATGGCTGATGAATGTACGCATTAACCAAAAATGAATAATAACATTCAGACTTTGGGTCTTTGCTGCGTGCGGAAGAATACATGATTACCATGAAATTACTGTACATAATTCTGACTCCGATTTGGATTAAACGAGACTGTTTTAGTCACTATCATAATTCCTATGGGCACAGAGATCGTGGCTCCATAATCTTACCAGTGTGACTCGTTTCCAGATATGGAATACACCCATTAGAAGACTTGCATACAATCTCTTATTATTATTTTTTCAATAAAATATCATGGAAGTGTGAAAATGGCGCAAGACGGGTTACCGCGAACATTTTTTTTTTTTTACTGAAAAATAAACACTAAAAAATAAACAAGAGATTGTAAGCAAGTCTATCCGTTAGCTTCTGTGTACGGGATTATGTATTGTTTGTACGGAACGTGAGCTGATTCCAGGCTTGACAGGAACTGAGGCTCGGATATAATCCGACTTCTTTAGAACTACAAACGATACCGCCATAAATAATTAATTGGGTACGTACATGAAATTTATTTCAATTTACAATGTGTTTTTCTTCTACTAATATCTGCAACTCCGCGCGTGTGTTATATTCGCGGTGCCATGGTAACAGCCGTTGAAACGTCCCACTTATTATTCTGTTAATGGAATAAATTGGTTTGGCTGCAAATCGGAAAATATTGGGCTGAAGCTACACTGCACTGAATGTCGTGGCATCTAAACACCAGAACAAATATCACTTCCATTGTTGGAATCACTCGTATCATTTTGCCCGATTACATACGATATTTCTAAATTCGAGATCAGGCCCTCAGAATTGTGTCCGAGTTCCGAGAAATGTATTTCATTGAAACATAACGCAATGTTCATTCAACATAGCATCTTCGCTAGCAAAGGTTATTTAATTCGGCCGACGTGAAGGGACACAAAATACTTCCGTGAACATTCTAATTGTGATTATTGAACGGAGCGTATCGTTAGCCCATAAGTCTATGGTTAGCCGAAAATTGCGTTATAGCACCTGGCAAATATCACTTATATAATAAGCCTACTAGTATAATATTACGGCTTATTCTTAAGCTGGATTACATTTAATCCTCGGCAAGGGCGATAGCAAGTTTGCCGATACGATCAGAACGCTAATCAAACCAGGTGAATGAATGGATGGCGTTTGGTCCAGCTGACAGCCAAGGCATCGAGCTGCCAGGTGATTAAATACAACAAATATTTGTGTCGGCGTGTCAAAGTTCAACATTGATGCTATGTTTACCTATCGCAGGATTTAGAATAACAAAGCTCTTCAAATCGATGCCGATCCGGTCTCGTTTGTTTCAGAGCGCGGTTAGTACTAGTAACCGTGTCCAGAGTAATGAGTGATTTCCCGTTTATATTCGAATGCGTCAAGTGAGATAGAAGCAGACTCCATTCCCGAAACGTCAGACAACTAAAGGTTCTTTTATTTTGTTTTGTAATTGTCTAAGCCGAGACTGTCTTACCGGGATGTTACACGTGAAACAAGAGACGGAAAACTAAAAATAAGGTGTACAACGGCAGGTAACACCGGAATTACCAGAGTCTGTTACTTATCCAAAGTTCACTGTGTGTGCGCACTAGTTCTAGTCGATGTTGATAATTTTGAGCATGACTTACATCTTGAAAGAATCATTAAAAATAATGTTTTTGCTGTAAACATAGATGTATTCGTTTGATGACATGCTGGGAATAAGAGTGTCCATGAATTGCAGGTTCGTACTACTGGTAAATCCAAGACGCATGCGCATTTCAAATTTTCTGTTTTTAATCGAACAAATATTGCTAAGTTTATTATTAAAGCAACGGTTTTATTTTATGAAAAATCACACCCTATTAAGATGCAATATTTGAAGTAAATATTTATTAAACATCATTGATGCTCAATAATAGTTGAAGTTATTCAAATTGTGACTTTAATCGTGAAATTATTATTTACTGCAAACATCAAACATTTTTAGTCATCAGTCATCATTAAAATCTTCATCTTCTTTGGTTACCATTGTTACCATGTATGTATGTTCGGAGAATGCTGCACGTTCATCACTCATCATGTGGAATTTTTGCGCATGCGTGACTGGGATTATCAAAGGGAAGTCTACAATATACGACATGTACAACTCATGGTGGCGGTCGTCTCGCAGCGCCTGTTATAATATCGAGCAAACAAATGAGTCTATCCTCGGGGCGGAGCTACGTCACAAGACGTTCCACGTTGCTACAACGCTGGGCTGTGTGCGCGCTGCTGTGGAACGCCGGTCGAGCCGGTGAAAATTCCAGAAAACAGCACAAACTCAACTTTGATGTAATCCTGAACAACCAAATTTATATATGTTACACACGTAGGGCTAATCTTATTACAATGTTCAGAGGAGTCTCAACAATCATCCCAAAGTACCGTTTTCTGCGAGTTTTGGGCATTTGTTTTCACCACGAGGGTTGCTAGGCGGTGAAAATGCCCGGATGTCCGTTCCTCAATATATTTGTATCAGCTTGAAATATGGTATATGGCGGCCCTCATGTGCCAGCCATTGAAGGAGGGATATTGTTTTTTCCCCATTATCTCTGAATAATTATCTGATAATAATCGAACATATTGTTTGAGAATTCAAGACTCAAATAAATGCGACTCAAGTCATATATGCTATCAGAGGTACATTACTTGGGGTTTGCAACTACGGTGACATGATCCCGTTTCAATCTCGCTCTCGCATAAGCGTTCCAACTCAGAAAAACGCGAATGCGCATGCCCGAGGTAACTATGATACTGGGATGTCCAGGTGGATTAAAATAGCTGCTCACGGATGACGGATTACGATAACTATATTTTCTGTACATTTTCGATGTATTACATTTTTCACTATGAATGTGGTAATACATGTTTTATTGTTTTATTACAAACCGCCTATGTCATGTCAGAAGGTCGTAGCATCAGTCTCGCTATCTACGAGATGAGACTTGAATGGGATCTTGGCATGATGTTACCATACAGTACTATGCGCGTTGCAAACCCCAAGTAATGTACCTCTGATGCTATCTAATATCGATCTAAAACTTTGAGAAATCGACCTCCAAGGTATTTGACCCCTAAGCCCATGCGCTAAGGAGCTGTGCGTGAACGCTACTATTAAAAGTATGAAGCCATGACAGTCCCTATGTAAACAAAACAAGCAAAATGCAAAACAAAACCCAATTTTTAGGGTTTTTAAGAATTCTGCGTCTATACCTATACCCATTATTATACCCATTTGATAAGATTGTTTCGTACAGTATTTCATGATTGAAATAATATCGTTTCCTGACGTAGCGTGCAGCGTGCATTTATTTTTTTATTTTATTACTTTTTATTCTAGGCCTCAGTTTTCAACAGAAACGATAATTTTATTGTGACTCAGAAAGATATGGCGAGTGCCAAATGTGGAAAAGGATGTGCTCACTATTTTCAATACAACTGACATCACTTCCTGTATACCATGGAGTCCATATATACTTCTCTTACTTATTTAACTATATAATGCAATGTACTCTGTTAATAGTTTTTTCTCTCTTTATTGTTGCCAGTAATTCAGTTTATTGTGTGTTATTAAATGGACTTATAAATCTCTGTATAGAACATTCCGTCGTTGGTACCCCGTATAATATGGGTGGTACGCTTGGTGAGCAGAGAGTAAAATATTGCCCTATACGAATAAGGCCAACACAATTGTTACAAAATACACACAAAAGCCTATATGTATAAATGATGTCGTGGTGTATACGCGATCGGAAAATAAAATAAAATAAAATAAAATAAAATAAAATAAAATAAAATAAAATAAAATAAAATAAAATAAAATAAAATAAAATAAAATAAAATAAAATAAAATAAAATAAAATAAAATAAAATAAAATAAAATAAAATAATATATTGAATAAATATACGCATTGTTGCACTAATGAATTCTCGGGTGATTAACTTTCCAGCCAACCATGTCTGTCTTATCACAGTTTGTGCAATAACAATAATTATTTGTATAATAAATAATTTCTATATCGTTACGGTAATTAACGTTCAGGTCAATGTATATACTAGCACAGTCACTCTAACAGTTATCGCACAGTAATTCTCTGTATGTGTCACTGTACCAAACAAATACATACATTCACACCAAACAACATTATCGCCAGGCAACCCGGAAACAAATACACCCGATACTTTCAATTACTTCCCACAATGCAATGCATGTAATTTCTATACGCACTTTCGTTTTCAGCCAATGTTTTTAACCGACTCCGAATGGGGTAAACGATCGGCCATATTGACGTGTGTTGTGCTTTTCATGGATTGTACTCGTAGCTGACATATTTTGAACACCCGTGATTGTGAAATGTTGCCGTCCGTAGTTAGATTAACGGATCACTGATTGTAAGTATGTCATTTCTGATAACGGAGGTCGATAATCAAGTGTTCAATTTTGTAAGGTTGATTGCTTTCCTCGCACAGATCTAACAGGTTGATTGCCAAAGCACGGCGAATCTGACGGCGGGGGTGGGGGTGGGGGATTCCTTTGCGTAACAAGAAGGCAGGAGTGTTTCACGTTGTCCAACCTTCGTCATATGTCAAATTAGGTATAACCAGGTCTAGCGAAGACAATTAGTACTAAGAAACCGAATATTGAAACGTTAGCACAGCGCCTATAATCTTGAAATTTAATCGGAGGGGTGTGTGTGTGTAACAAACATAAATTGTCAGAAGTGTCCCTCAAACTCAAAACATCATGTCACACCATGTTCTTGGGAGGGGGGGATTGCTTCTAAAAAATGAGTGGAAAATGGAGGTGAAAAATGCAGATTTGGGTGAAAATCCCCATCCCCCGCAAATATGGTCCAAAAATCGGACCACATATAGGGTTTTTTCCCCAAAAAAGTTACCCAAATTTATTTTGCCCAACCAATTTTAGTTCCATGCCTAGATCATAATTTGGCTCCAGATTTGGAGAATTTTTGGTAAAAATGTCTTACAAATATTGCCTTCTTGAAGCCTCTGCAAACATACCAAAATCAATGAAAACAGAATAGAATCAGCAGGGGATGTGGTATATCATGTTTACAATTTGAAATCAAGACAAACATACATAATTTATAGAAATACTTATGCAAGTGAATGGGGCTCAATTGAAATGGGATCTTCATTGTATATCGCTGTGTTTGGATATCCCAGTTGCATATTTGTGTAAAAATATACCTTTGACATATACCAGGGGTTGAAATTAAAATTTTCTATCTATTCGAAAAGTTAGAAAATAAAAGTGCCTGTCCAAATTGCTGATGTACCTGTCCGTAGCAATATAAATTAAAATATATTATTTTAAATACAATTTTAATTATTGGCTCATCATCATTTCATTAGTCTTAAAAATTTTCAATTTTATTAGCAATTTTGGGTTATAATCTTTATGGACTAAATATGGCTTTTGCGGCCCGAGGTGGTGTGACGGGAGTACACCGGAGATGCAAGGGAACGTAAGCCATACGACCTAGTGCAGAAAAATCCCTATCCAGTTCATGAAGGTTTTATCATATTAGCTTACAGGTGTAATTACAATTTTACCAAGACGTGAATTCAAACAGACGACGTAATTTAGGATGATACGTTTTGATTGATAAAAGCCGGGCGTGATACCGGAACTTATTGCCCTGATGTGAGGGCGCACTTCCCATAGCGTTACAAGGCCAGGCAATGCAAGATGTATGATGGAGGAAATTATTGTCCTGATATGCATTGTAATGAGGTATCTAATAAAGGAAATATGGTATTTGTACCGTACTGGCTTCATATCTTTCATTAAATATTCTATTATTGTAATTAACTACGTAATCTATGCATAGGCAAATTAATTTGACAGAAGAGATAACAAATTAATTAAAATATTATAATCACGTACATGCACTGTCCATTGCAATCCCTTTTGTGTAACACTATGCTTATTACCAGAGAGAATACAATACTCTTGTCATTTCTCTGTCATCTGTCATTAATGTAAACTTAAATTTAATTTTCTCTACTGAATGCATGTTTTTGATTACACAGTGTGTGTGTGTGTGTATCGTATTGTGCAGACTGTTACGTATTTAGTTAGCTAATGCAATACTGCCCTCAGTCGTTGAAATGTTCGTCAATCCACCACCCCCATCGATAATTAAAATTACTGGTACCTGTATATTTATTGCTATCGTTATAATTATACCAGCATTTGTCAGAACAATACAGATTTAGATATGATAAAATAAAAAAAACACCTTTATATAATTAAAATTCATTTTGATTACCATATCTTAAGATGCCTACTATTTTTGAAAAAATTTTGGTCATAAATTGCTTGACAATGTTCATTAGTTTATTATGTACAATCATGAAGCTAATGTCTCATGGTACAATGAAATAGCATTATTTTGTGTGTTACAGAAATGTGTCCTAATATTTTTTGAAAATCGCTATTTTTAGAACACATTCCATAGAACACAATGTTAAAGAAAAATTACATTTTTTGACACTTTTTAAAACCTAGATTTTTGAAATAATTCAGAACAACAAAAAGTACACCATCATTAACAATATATGATTTTGCCAGCCTATGTCACCATGCTAGATTTTGAGATATTGCATAATATCTCTGCCATAGGAACCTGTGGTAAAAGTGTTATAATAGTGTCAAAATGGCGACTCTCCACTAAAATACAACCATCAATTTCTCGAAAATAAGGCTGGTGACGCCCAACTTTTTTTAGGTCAAAATGCTTATATTGCCTTGGAGTACAATTTATTGCAAAATGAAAAAATTCTGGGTATTTTTATTCATGACTAGGTTTTTACCTTAAGCACATCTGGGCGATTTATTTCTTTTTAAATTTAAAATTAAATAAAAAAATAGCGAAATGGAGGTGTTAACGCAAAATCCCCTGTAACTGCGAAATCACCCAGACTGGACGTTTTTGCAGTGCCCTCTGTGGTGAAAGCAGGAACTAGTGTGTTTTCATACTAGTTTTTATGTTAATGAGCAGAATGACAGGCAAAAACGTTATCCAATCAGAGTAATTTGACCTTTAAACTATATCTAGTTAACCTTTGTACCTGAAGACTTCACTTTTCTTCAAGTTTCTTGATCGTCAAGCATAACAAACGAATTACTATTTATAACGTTCCGTACAAATTATTCTAATGGAGAGAAGTAGCCTGCGTGTAGCTTTATCTCGTCTGGGTTACAGTGAAGCGCAATCTGCACAGAAGACCCACATTGTTTAAACTCATTATGCAGCGCGCACGCCCCAACTCTTTTTCTGTATCCGTTCAGTGATGTCACTGCATATCATGAATAAATAATAGCAACAGATTCGCTGCAAATAAGACCAGTCTGTGGTGGTTTCGGGTTCAACCAACCTTTCACAAAACTATTTTTCCATTTTAACTGAAAAAAAATTACCACAGCTGGGCCAGTCTAATCTGGAATATAAATGCAGATAAACCAAAAATTACATGTATTGTATCTTGGGTCATTAAAATGTGACTTAATTTGGCGGTTGACATACTTCTGTTATTTATGTAAATGCATGTGATCTCTTTCCTCGCATAGACCAAACAGATTGATTGCCAGCACAGTGAATCTGACGGCGGAGGTGGGGGAGGGGGTATTCTCGTACGTACTAGTAAGAAGGTAGGAGTGTCTCACGATGTCCAATCTTCATCATATGTCAAATTAGGTATACCAAGTGTACCAAAGACAGGGAAATTGAAACATATATAAACACATAAGTCTAAGGATTGAAATAGAAATTTTTACTTGCATGTACTAATACAGTATGCAGGTTGATTTTGGGAATTACCTGCACTGAGGTGTAAGATAATAAAAATGTTTTTAGATTTCTGTTTTACTACCGATGTGCAATCAAAACACAAATCGCAATGAAGTTTAAACACACATGCAAATTTCATGGTGTATCATTACTGTATGTTGACTTTTCATCTGATTTTTTTATTTTTTTTATTCAATGATGGAATCTTTTTTCAAATTAAGCGATTATAATTGCATACATTTTGTATGTGTCCTACATGCACATCATGTTTCAGGTCTACATGTCCAGGTGAAAAACGACACTGTGCACCCAAGTGATTGAAACTCTGGCAAATACTGTACAGTACAATCAAGGTTAACTTCCAAGCTGGTTTTGCCTTTTCATAAACCTCAACATTTTTAAACGGAGGTCATTGTCATCAATAATCAATTTATTTTTGGTGCTATTTTTCTATGTTACTAATATGAGGCGTATTTAGACAGTTTAGATATGTGGAAATGAATCCTAATTTTGGATCCAACAAATTTGAATAATTTATTTTTGT